TATATTCAATAATAAATAGGTGGGTAGATGAGAAGTTACGGTATACCATTTATAAAGTGATTTAATTTACATCTGTGAGCAACGATAAATCGTTTCCAATGAAAAACGATTCTGAACGTAGTGCGATTATACATAACCATACATGTTTTGGAATGCTGTACATTTTACGATTTTTGTTGAAATTTTAGTTTAAAACACTTATACAAAAAAAATTACTTCGTTAAACTTCCATGCATTTCCGTTCTTTTGAACAATTATATCCACACAGTACTTACCAAATACAAAATCACGTAAAAAACGCGCAAACATAAAATGTATGTAAATAGCTTAAAAATCACCCTTATTTTGAAGATTTCACTACGTATAGAAAAGGTGTATATAAATTTTCCTTCGAAATTTCAAGGCTTTACGAATATTTTTAACTGAATTACAACAACAAAACAAACAAATTAAAAATAATATAACCATTGTTTATCCGTAAACTTTCCCGTATTTTCTACTTTTTTCTGTTTTGCTCAGGTAAAGGGGAAAAAAATGCAAATAATTTTTTTACGAAACACCGGTTTAAACTTGGAACTTCTAGGATGATAACAGGCATGAAGAACCATTACATCACGACAAATATGCTTGAATAGGTACAATATAGAGTTATTTAACATAACATATAATATTTACATAATATCAGAAATTCAAAAAGCTATTATTTAGAAACTTAGTCAGTTCGCTTGATTCTAATTTTTCCATCGTTTTTAAATCGGCAATATACATATGTTAAAAAAAAAAAAAATTAATAAATTAGATTTATTCCACATAGTTTTTTATTCAAACAATTATCGTCAAAATTTAATATTAAAATTCTCATAAAAAAAAAATACATTAAACTTAATTTTTTTTTTTTACTACAAAGTTAGACTCCTAATGAATTTCCTGTTAAATTTTCAAGTATTTCCGTTCAAGTCTAACAATTTTATCACAGAGTACCTAAAATAAAAAATAAATTAAATATAAAATAAAAATTATGCAGAAAACTAGCAAAATTAAAATGTCTATAAACAACTAAAAATGACATAAATATTTTGAACATTTTACCACGTCTAAAAACAGCAAATATAAGTTTTCTCTCTAAATTTCAAGTCTCAACGAATATTTTAAACTGAATTACAACAAATAACAAAATTGAAAAATAATAGTTTTATTTTCGTACATTTATCGTTTTTCTTACGTTTTATCCTGGTTTTTCCCAGACATTGTGAAAACCGCTTAGAAAATCAAAAAATGGCCTCCTAAAAGTACCACCTGGACAACATCTCCTTTCAGAAATGGTGCCGCACATATATCTCTGAGCAAGATTTCTGGTCAAATTCAAAAAAATTAACACTTTAGTAAAACCAATACATTCTTCGCTACACTCAGAATATAAAATGTCAAAATAATCCGTATATTGGGAATATTGTATCAATTTATCAACAAATTTTAAACCTACATTAATATTAGGTAAATTTTTACAAAGACCAAAATAACATTGTCTATTGATAAAAAAAGATCTAAGCATATTTTTTGACAATTATTAAAAAAATGTAAATGCGATTAAAATAGTGTTTGTATATAGGTATTATACTATATTAAATACTTCTCGTTTTAAAATTGAATTAAATATCAAATTACTAGTATACATTTATTCAAATGTGATTTACTCGGTACTACAACACCTGTCAGCTCGCTATTTTTTATTTTAATTGAATTTCTGTAAAATGTCGTTTGAAGAGTGTTTAAGTCAAGTGTCCCCAGAACAACTACAAATGATTAAATAGTTTATATCCCTCAGATATTTTTGCTAACGACATTGTAGAATTGTAAAGTACTGCAAATTGTAACAGCATGCCGATGGCTCATCGGAGGGAGGTAGGTATTTAATATAAAAATATAAATGAAACTGCTCGTAACAAAAAAAAAAAAAAATTGTTACTCATCAAGGTATAGATGATGTATTTTGAACGATAAAATATATTTAATGAAATACCTAGGTACTACAAGGCGGAATTTATCTATACAAACAGCGTAGGTATAAGGAATATAAGAGTTTTGTTATCAAAATCGTGTGTCCAGTATATTGTTACATTAACAAAAATGTAATTATCATATTTTATTTTAATATTCTCAAATACGTTTTATTTATCACAATAATAAACAACCCGAATGTAAGGTAGGTATGAAAAAAGTCCCGTCGGTTAACACATAAAAATAAAATATTTTCATTTTTCAATGACAGTCGGAGGTTAGGTTATAGTATAACCTAAGTCCTAACCCAACCTCTCCCACTATTGACCATTATACTTCAGCGTGATATTGATGTAGTCGGTGTTGAATTATTCGACTCCTGCCTTGTCTCCCGTTGTGGTCGATGTATATATAAGGTTTAATGTATGAATATGAATTATATCAGCTATATAACTTATCAGATATATGATATAACATTATTTTTGCATATTATTGAGCGTATTATTATTCACACTATTAAGCTTTAATTACTTTACGAGAACAAAATATAGAAACGAAATATTCTGGTGGGTCGTTGCTATGCAACCAACGAAATATATCCTGTAATAATATTATAGTGTTAACTATTAGCAACTTCGAATTCTTTCACAAACCACCTCATCACGAATCCCATTGTAGACAGACGGATGCGACGAACATTGACCATTTCTTTGCCGGTCTGCAATTTATTTTCTTCGGATCTCATCGTAGGCAGACGGTTCGCGGATAGCCGGAAATATACCAAACTGTTTCTGCCCCTTATTTCCCATACCGATATTGGAACAATCGCCTCCTCCAACATTCATTGCTTCTTGACGCGGCCAAAGTGTCATACGAAAATCGTTCGGTTTGGCGTTCAAGGGCTTCAAACTATTTAATAAGTTTATGGACCGACTGCGATTCCGTCACTCCGTTGTACACCATTTTGCTGGAAGACATTTTGTATTGGATTTCTTCCAGGATTATTAACAAAATTAAATAAGTTAAACTTAAAACACGTCGATAATTTGAGAATTTATTTCATATAGAAATGTTTCGGATTGGCTGTTGAAAACACGATAAATATTTTATAAACATACCTATGTGATAAACATAAGGTGTCGAAGAAGATTGTTTGTGTTTTTTTTTCAGTCAGTTTACATCAAATATTTCTATAAGTTATAAATAATATTATCGTGCGATTTCTACATGACTTAACATTCAATTTTCGAGTATTTATTATAATAATACCAATGTCATAAGTTTTACAATTACTGTTAAGAAATCAATTAGGTACGATGACTGCCTCAAAAAAGAAATTTTATCGCACTGTCACACATTAAACTATCACGAACCGCCACTGTGTTATAGTAACATTCCCGTAAGCTCAACGAACAAACCTATAACGATTATAATCAAACATCTGATTTAAATTCATGTAATTACTTTGGTGCGAATCCCGAATGACGCACACACTGCACATATAAATACGAAAAATAATAATGAAGGCGAATTTTTGTATAGTAAACAAGATGGTTTTGGTACATTTTGATTTTTTTATCAGAGCCGAGCAAGTACGTATGTTTATAGGATGTGTATAGTGCTGGGAATGACGGGATTCTGTGTTAGGTATACCTTTCGATAAAAATATGCGGCCACCCAAATACAAAAAAAACCACCAGTTATCGTGATTCTCAACAACACTGGTCGCCGACGATGTAAATATCCGTAACACATACCTAACGTATATAATCCGTATAATATTTTTATAACAATATTATCGTATCCAAATTTACTCGTCTTGGTATCGTCGAATATTATAGAATTTCTGATTTACTGTTCATTTCGTTACATTTTCATCGTACTTGCTGTATACATATCTATTTATAATATACGATGTTGATATTGATAGAATAGGTACTTAGTTTAAAATTTAATTAAATGAGGTGCTAATTTTATTTATGAACTATTATAATATTATAAAGGGGCTATTATAATTGGCGCTCAGAGTACTTAATACTTAATAAAATTTGTTGCTCTCCATAAGCCCGGTGTATTGCCCTGGAAAAAGATTCATAATAAATTAACGAAGGTCGAAGTTTTAATTGAATATATTGCATATTTTATGCACGAAATTCAAAATTAAATTTAAATAGCTATATAATGGACGGTAATAATTTAAGTCTATAGGTATATTAAAATAAACATGACGTACTGTGATATTCTTTTGATTTTTTCTAATTACAATATCGATTAAGACATTTAAAATAAAATCGTTCACAATATACAATTGTTTATGATTAAAGTTTAGAAATATTTATTTTTTCAATGATTTTTGGAGACGAATATATTAGTTTTGCATAAGTCGAATTTTCATTTTTCACGTTGTATGAACATGTACGTTAAAATTAACGTCTTTATTTTTGCGGTTTTCCATTAAGTTTTGAAGTAATTTATGTTTTTTTTTTACTACCAAAGATGATTATCAGGGATAGGATTTTAAAGCGATAAAAACCGTTTGTGGTAAATTTACTTTTACATTTATCCAGTAAAAATATTCCAATAAAGTTCTACCGATCAAAAAATCCATATCTTTTAAGGTGTAAACAATTTAAATACATATTTAAACTAACCAAAAAAACTGTGTGCACTATGCGCGCATATTTTAAGTGAAACTACTTACGCGTTAGCAGCTAGATTACATATTATTGTTTTGATAAGGATTGTGATGTTTATAGAATGACATACATGTTTGGATATGAATATTATTTTAAATTTATTTCTGTAATCCGTACATTACTGAGTGCTTTGATAGCCTGTATATTTTGTATTGATAGTGCAATAGCTACAGTGGATATAATCGGTTTATGGTAACTAAAATACGATATGTACGTTTTTTACTAGATTATGTCGAGATAATGAGAAAATACAGTATCGATCGTTATTCCTGATTTTGTTTTTGAAGTTTATCGGTCATTACTCATTTATGAATTCAGTTGTTGTAGAAATTCTATTAATTTTACGGAAGTGTCCGTTGCGAAATTTACATTGTAATCTCCAGTTAACATGAGAGGTTTTACATCGTCTTGTCGAGGAAGAAGTTCACCACCGTCAAGAGCGTATCTCAGTGTATCTTAATAACGCACCATATAAAAATGCGATAATATCGTTAATATGTGAATTTGGACTATGTCGACACTTAAAATTACTATTGTTTGTCTATTTATCGCACGGCACACAGAAATAAAAATGTCACCGATATTTTCTGTCACAGTTGCACTTGATGTTGACTGTACAGCGGACAACCCTACGTGTGGTGTGAGTACTGAGGTCATAAACGGTATAATTTTGGTTGTGGTAGATAGTGTTTCCTCCAGTCTGATTTTTTTTACACTGGGCGATACAGTTGAAATTCGGTAAACTGATTTCTCCGTCTTCACCCAACCAAGTTTCATGAGAAACTACTACATTATAATCCATCAATAGAAGTAACACGTAATAATGCGACACACACTAGCGATTGTGACTGTTTCCTATCATATTCGTAAGATACCATATTGACCATTAACATGATGCAACCTCCTAATTTGCATAAGGGAAATATGAGATTGATCTTTTTGATATTAGATAACATTTTTTTATTTCCAATTGAATTCATTATTGTCATTATCAATTTTCTTATTCTATTTTGTAAGTTAGTTGTGGAAAAAATCGAGATCTTGATGGCAATAAACTATTGATTATTTCAAAAAATGTTTCAAACAAAGTACCATTAGACGCAAAATCTCCGTATTTTAATCTAGGTTGGAATGAGTCACCATCTATGGCCAGTATCACTGCTACGGCCACTCATTTTTATTTTATTTATTTGGTTAAAATTGTATTCATCTATATTGGTTTATTTACTGGGTGATATCAGTTGCGTATTATAAAAATATAGATAATATAGGTATCCATAGAACGGGAAAATGTAATTTTAAAATATTAACACTAATTTTTCAATTTATAATGCTCTTAAGCCTTTGTAATTCAAATTGTGTATTGGCAAACTTATAATGTATTTATGTTGATCATTTATAATATTCGAACAGCTATTGTCGACTTGTACTGACTGAAACGGAGGACGCAAAATGTTTTTTGCGACGGGGTCGCCATTCCAAAATAAACTAATCATTACAGAATTTATCAGTAGCATTACTTACAATAAACTTGACTATCTTAAATTTTCATCACTATATAGGTCGTTAATCTGCGATTAACGATTGTTGAACTATGCCAATTCGTAATCAGATGAAGACTTTTGAAACATGTTGTAAATATAGTATAATATATTATTATAGTACAGTTATTATATTAACGATACATTCGGTCCTTTGAATTCTGACAACACTTCTGTAATCTATATGGCGAATTTGAGAGTATATTAATATCCACGAATAAAAATAATAAACTTTCTGTATTCTTCGCAATATTTTGTAAGCTGGCCAGTTAAAATTATGTTCTATACTATGCGTTGTTGACGAAATATTTTTTAGTCGCTTCAATAAACGATTCGGTGTTTATTATATCAATAATATCATATTCGTTTAAGATTTCGTATAAAACTGTAGACAAGTATTGAACCGAAATAATACTACTAATAACTGAAGTCAAAAGTTGCGATACGAGCGACTTAAAATGCAGGCGTTGAAAAAACTTTCCATGACGAGTTTGAAATTTACAAATAAGCGAGTTTTGATGAGGTGATATGAAATTATATATTATATACTTACTTTTAACGAGTAGGATCATGTATTGAACGGTGAATATTTTGTATGTTTAAACGTTATAAATATTGATTTAGGTAATTTAAATTCACGATATCGGTAAATTATATAACTCTAAATTTAACTGGGTATTTGTGAGTAAATATAATATCCGATAAGTATGAGTAATATAAAAGTCTTCATAAAGAATGTAATACTCGTGTACATATAATATATAGGTACTAAATTTGTATAATACAGGGTTGATTTCAACGTTCCAATGAAGAATGGTATAATAACGAATAATCAACGCATTGTCGCCGCGTTAGACAGTATAAATTATGCTCGTAAAAATTGCGCTAAATCGGTGGTACTTATGTCCCATCTTGGACGTCCAAACGGAATGCCCAATTCGAAATACTCTATGAAGCCAGTCGCTGAGGAACTTCAGAATCTCCTGAACAACAACAAGTATACCTATACAAAACAATTTTAATTTTATATTATGTATAGTATTTTTTTTTTTTTTTAAATCCGTCAATCCTGAATATATGTCAAAATAATTATGATGCCAGTGTATGTATTCTATTACGGTTCGTTTATAGGCTATACGAATATATCCTATAGAATAAGTTATACCTATTATAAAATGCTTGATTACGATACGTTTAACATTTCTTCTTTAAATCAAAACTTTTCAATATTACAAATGATTGTTTAATTAATTAGAATTCGTGTTTACATAGCTACAAATCATCAGGGAATAATATACTAAAAAGGTGTAATGAGGAATTGAAATGGAACTTTGAAAAAATACCAGAAGAAACGTAAATATTCCACTATTTATGTATTCGTATAAAAATAAATAAATTAAAAATCATGAATAATTTACAGATCGGTTACGTTTTTATCCGACTGTGTTGGAACAGATGTAGAAAATGCTTGCGCAGATCCGGCCCCCGGTTCAGTAATTGTTTTGGAGAATCTTCGATTCCATATCGAAGAAGAAGGAAAAGGGGTAAACTCTGCAGGTGAAAAAGTCAAGGCCAATAAAGAAAACGTGAACAAATTTCGAGAATCTTTGAGTAAATTGGGAGATTTGTATATCAATGATGCTTTCGGTACTGCGCACAGAGCTCATAGTTCGATGATGGGCGAAGGCTTTGAAAAGCGTGCCGCCGGATTTTTGTTAAATAAAGAACTTACATATTTTGCTAAAGCATTGAATGAACCTGAGAGGTACAAATTTTCTGTCAATAATGTATTTTTATTATTTATTTAAATAGCTATTTTTCTATTGAACCAATGGCTTAACAAGGCCTTTTTAACGGGGAAGAGGGGAGGCGAAATATATTTTCTCCCACTCTTCAAATAGAAAATTCCTTAAAAAAGTAACGTCCAGCTACATCATGTTTCTTAATATACACGGGATTTAGGCTCTTTTATTTTTGTAAAACATAACATTTTTATTTAATCGACTAAATATAACATTATAATGCATGTTATAAATTGATAATACCTCCAGTTTTCCATAGAAGTGAATATTTCAATGATTTAATCCGCTGAATCACTTATTTCATGGTAAATATACTTAAAAAAATCAACGTTTAATTTGCAAAACTAAAATTATATAGTATTACTTTTTAACTTCAATAGCAATTAGTAACAATATTTTCCTAAATGTATGTAAAGGACTACTCAGAGAGGATTTATTAAATCTAATTCTAATCTATTTAAAATATTATGTATTTATATTTAATGTAGGGGAAACATTAATTTAATTTAAACTATTATGTTACTTATCTTTGAATTTATATAAAATATCACATATGCGTGTAATGCAATTTTAAATATTACAATTATTCTGTTTACTACAGGTACTTATAATTTATTGTTCATTGAAATAATGATTAAAAATTAGAACTATACAAATATGTTTCTACAATTTTATAGGCCTTTCTTAGCAATATTAGGAGGCGCTAAAGTCGCTGATAAAATCCAACTAATCGAAAATCTTTTGGATAAAGTTGATGAAGTAATAATCGGTGGTGGTATGGCATTTACGTTCTTAAAAGTATCAAATGACATGAATGTAAGTAACTATAGGACAATTAAAAATAATTATCTGAATACAATATTGAAAAACATTTTAAAATTAGTTAAATATTTATTTTAGATTGGAGACTCAATTTACGATAAAGCTGGAGCTGAAATTGTTGATAAATTATTAGACAAAGCAAAACGCCGTGGTGTAAAAATTCACTTGCCGGTTGATTTTATTGTAGCCAATAAGTTTGATGAAAATGCTGATATTTACTGTGCTACCGTAGAAGAAGGAATTCGTGATGGTTGGATGGGTTTGGATTGTGGACCAAAAACTCAACAATTATTTCTTGAACCAGTCGCTCGTGCTCAAGTTATTGTATGGAATGGGTGCGAATATTTTATTTTTTTACTTAAGTTTTTTTATTTGACCATATAAAGTTTAATATTTTGACTATAAGTTTAGAAAAATAAATAGGTACTGGGACAATTATAATAATAATTTTAATATGTGTACCTACCTGTGTTATTCATTCAAATTTATATCTGTTTAATACTAGACCTGTTGGAGCATTTGAAATGTCGAAATTCGATAAAGGTACGAAAACTTTAATGGATGCTGTTGTTGAAGCTACTAAAAAAGGAACTGTAACCATTCTTGGTGGAGGAGACACAGCAACTTGTGCTGCCAAATGGGGCACGGAGAGTAAAGTCAGCCATGTAAGCACAGGTGGTGGTGCTTCTCTTGAGTTACTTGAAGGTGAGTTTTTGTTAAAAACATTGCAAATATAAAAAGAAAACGAAACATTATGATCTATTGTTTTTATAATTATCATTTATAGTTAATAAGATATTGGTTCTGATCCATTTAATCCAATTTTCTTAACCCAGATTGATCAAATTTTGGTACAGCACTGACTTTAACTCACTAAAAAAAAAATTCTATCTAATAAATTTTTGTCTATTATTTATTAGTTAAAGATTGACCATCGCATTTTGTACTATATATATATATATTTATTTATTATGTGTGTTTATCTAATTTTATGTATAATAGGTATGTATTATATTTTTTTATGTACATTTTTTGTTTTTCAGGAAAAGTGTTGCCAGGAGTTGCAGCTTTGACTGATGAATAGGAATATAAAGTTATTTAAAGTTATTAAATTTGATTTTGTTGAAATAAAAGGTATCGGTTTCAATAATACTGGTTTTTTTTTTTCCGTTGGGTTTTAGAAAATTGGCACGAAGTACAAGTTTTAATGCATTTGCTTGAGTCTGCTATCATTGATGGTCAAAAGTACTTTGTTTTAAGACGAGTAATAGTTTTTGTGATACTGTAATGGGCCGATAACACTGATTCGTGATATGATTTTAGGAACAAAAAAATTAGTATTTTTAGGATTACCAATAGGTAAGTTGTCCATGTTGGCGACAATTTTTTGAAATATAATAGGTCTTGTCTTATAAAATATTGTCTTGATTCCCTCTTATATATTTTTTGCTAAATCCATTAATGGACTTGCATTTTTCGTGAAATTTTCTATATATTTTCTGTAGTAGCTTGTTAGTCCGATGAATGATCTTTAAGTCCATTACTTTTTTGGGTGCTGGACATTTTTTTCTTACGGCACAATTCTACTATTGAAAATTTCGTGTCCTAAAAG